AACCGTTCGTTCTTTTGCTTTTAACACCGAAAGATTGAATCGTGGCAAATACGTGTTAATTTGTTTACCGTCCATCACCTTGGTGGTGCGAATCGTTACAGTGGACGTCACTAACTTACACCTTTCCGACAACTTTATCTCTCCGACTCCGTTTACAGTTTCCGTTGCTTCCTTTCGATTTTTGCACGATATCACCACCGACTCGCTTTTCGGGTTTGAGTACAGCTATACACGCGCTTTTTCTAGCCTTATCCACATCGTGTGGTTCGAAATCACAGTTTTCTCTTTACAATTGGAAAATTCAGGAGAATTACCAACATATGCCTGCACCTTGCATTGTGCGTCCGCGTGTATCTTGTACACCGATTCTATATTATTGCAGACATAATTATCTTCAACGTTTTTACATTTCTCTAGCTGACTCACTTTTACAACGGAATATGTTTGTTTATTTTTATCTACTGCAACTATCTCGAATTTTACTTGTGCCACCTTACAAACATTATCGTGGTCGTGCACCGGCAAGGGCACTACCCTCAACAAGTCGTATTCTACCGGAGCTACTAGTGGAAACTTGACGACGGTATACACAACTGCGTTTTTACAATACACGCTAACGGTGACGTATTCTTTTATTGTCAACCAATTTTCTAGAGTTACGACAAATGGAAAATGTAATCCGTGGGCAAACCAATTATTCGCGTCCTGGAGGCCTTGTATTATTAACTCGACTGGTACCATTTCCAACTGTGCAAACTTCGCTTGTACGTCCGTGACGTAACCCATGATACTTTCCACTTCGAACTCGAGTTCTGTAATCATGCTGCCTAATTCCATAAAATATTTCCTAAGTTCGGCTTGCTGCGCGTAACTGTCTACCTTTTGTGTTATTTTAACCATCGCGTTTTTTAACTTGTTTTTATTTCTCTCTACGACCTCCTCAATGTTTTCTACGTGAGCAATAGTCGCGTTTATAACCTGCAGCTGATTTTTTACCACGTGCTGTAAAACAACTTGTTTCTTGTTTAACAACTCTACTTACTTCGAAACTCGCTTTTCGTTTTTGGCATCCATTGTACCGAACAGAATTTTCGCGAAGGAACCTACTGCGTTAACCAGCTCCCTTCGACGACGTTTTTGTGTTCCCACTATAGTTTTAACGCGTTTTACTATTTTTTCCATGTTTTGCAATCTTTGTCGTAACTCCGCGGCAAACTCCTCGCACAGTTCTCTGTTCCTGCACGTTATTGCCGCGGTTTCGCATGCCTTAGCCGTATATTTTAACATATGTTCCGTCCGTTCCGTTCTTGTGTATACCGTTGATACATCCAATCTTACAACTAGTTTCTACTTTTCGCTAGCGTTGAGCATCGTTCCGTACTTTTTATAGTACACGCCGGGATTGTGGTGTGACTTTCGTATGTGGTATCCTTGGTCCCCGGCTTCACTCCACGCGACGCAGAAGGTAAGTACTGTTACTACTTTTATTTACAACATTTTTCTGCAAGCAAAATGTTTTATTCAATACGCCTTTATACATTATACTTTATTTTTATCGCGAATGGTGTCGCCTAACAGGTAGAACCGCGAGCGTCGGTTGTACTCCGAGTTCGTTACTCTGTCATAAGCTCTTTTTATTATAGGTTATACTAATTCTAAGACTTATATTTGAGACGCCTTGCTGTCTTTTGTACTTCGGACCATGGCTCTTCACGACAACTAGCACCAGTACCCCGTTTGTTACCGACCAGGTCACTACAGTGTTACTAGTTTTCCTTTTCCTGTGACAAGGTTGGTGTAAGTGTTTGGTTTTGGAACTTACAAGTGTGCTTTCTTTTCCAACAAGTTTTGTTCTAGTGCTTACCATGTCGCGTTTCATTTATTTATCGTGCACCAATGTCAACGCGGAGGAGTCCCCGTACGAGCGCTCAGAGGACAGCTCGTTCCTCTCGAGCTCCGAGGATACCGACTCTTTGCGCCCCGCGACTCCTTGCACCCCCGAGGGCCCGCCGCCGTCACCACCGGGCTCCCCGGAGGTAATCTTCGTGTGTTTGCGGCCCCCGCCTCCCCCGACCGGAGGACACCCCAAAGAACGACTCGGACGACGTTATCTGTCTGGGGCCCCGCCGCCCGTTGTCCCCCTCATCGTTTTGTCAGGCGATGAGTGAGGCAACCCGGTAAGTTCTTTTTTTTTGTTATTTTTTTTAATTTTCTATGAAGGCTTTCAGCCTATTCACGTGCACATTCTGCGTGCGCCGTCCTGCTTTGACTGCATACGTCACGTCTGACGTTTTCGCAACTTCCACATAAGGTCCTATCCACTTTGATTCCAATTTCTTAGATCTGCCTCTTCTCAGTGTCTCGTCATAAAGTAAGACTTTTTCTCCCACGCTAAACGCTGCTTGCTTTGTTTTTTTATCATAGTAATGTTTTGCTTTTTTCTTTTCTTCTTTGAGCTTTCTCGCGCTACTCGATTTGTCGCCCGCAATCTTTCTTTTAACTCTTGCGCGTAGTTTTCTAAATTGTACTGTGTAGACGGTGATTTAGTTAAAGCGGTCGGTAATTCCGCGCACCTCCTGTACACCAATTCGAAGGGCGTAAACCCCGTTGCCGTGTGTGGTGTCGTATTGTACGCAAACATTGCGTACGGCACCAACTCGTCCCAGTCCGTCTGGTCCTTGTTCACGTAGTGAAGTATATACTCGGCAGTAGTATGTGGCCCTTTATGGGGCGTCAAAACAAACCCCCTCCACCTGGTCCCNCCACCACTACTGGCGCCATATTCCCACCACTATGGTTTTCCCCACTCCTACTGTCTGGGGTGATTAGACACGCCTACTGTAGGGGGTGACAGTATTTATGACGCAATAATTGACGCAATTTATGGAACTTATATAATTAATAAATAAATTGTGCTTGTGGATTTTTTTATAAATTTTACAAGAAAGCGGGGGTAAGTACGGCATGGAGTAATAAATACGGGATGTAAATGTTTATTGTTAAAAGAGAGTGTGTTTATTATAAGATATTCGGCTTGGCGCGTAACTGTTCTGATGTTGCCGCGTCGTGATGCGGGGGCGTTAATAGGGGTAAAGCAGCGTCGAGCAAACGAGGGAGGAAGTCTAGAGGGAAGGGTTGTTAGTGTCGGGCCCCGGAAAGGAGCAATCAGCGGCTGGTACGTTATGGGGCAAGCTAATCGTCGTGTTAGGACACGCGATGAGTGAGGCCTTCGGATAGGTAGTGGGGATGGTAGGGTGTATTCGAACTAGAACGCGTAGATCGAAGAATGGGACTAGGGGTCGTCAATCTTGAAAGGAAAACGAGTACGGATGATGCTACGTGGGTCGTCGTCTTTCCGTAAACACGTGCGAACAGGTCCGTTCAGGTTGACATGAGTTGAGAGGTGCGAAAATTAATATAAAGTACGGAAGATAGGGGATCTATGAGAAAACTTACGAGAGTTTGTTAAAATCTTATAGATATTTAATGCGCAACGTATTTTTATTATTTTGAGAGGATTGCTGGAAATACAAAACAACATGCTACAGTTATATGATATAAACTCAAGTATATATTAAATGCGTAGAAGAAAATACAATTTACATAAGTTTATTTTTACAAGTACAGTATTGAATATAGTGTTTAGTAAAACGGTTTTGTATATTGTTGGATTTTGTACAGAATAGTTTACGAAATAAAAATACAATTAATTCGTCGTTGGTGTCGGAGTTTCCGGAGAACAGTTGTAGAAATTGGGGAAGGCAATACTCTCGAGCCATAAAATAGAGAAACACACAGCAATAATGCCCGCACGTTTGCGAGAAATATCCTTGAAGTTGAGTCGTGTTCCATGTGTGCGTGGTGGAGTTCTTTCGAAGTCGCAGAAGGAAACGGGGATCTGACGGTNGTGTTCCATAGCTGTCGAAGTACGTGGCGTTTCTGTTTCCATCGAGNAAGAAGGCGATCCAGTGGGTTCCTGGTCGATTGTGATCGTCTGTGTTAGCAACGATAGCTGTCCACTTCGTCCACACCCTGGGCAATCTGTCGGCTGGATAAACTCCCGCGTGTCCAGATATTTGCAGTTGTTGCAAGGCTTGCAATATTTCTTTCGTATTCATTATTTNGATAGAGGTACTCGCGAGAATGCGGAATGAAACAAGCGTATCCCTCTTGTACCTCTGCGTGTGCAGCGGTGTTCTCGGTGTAAGTAGTTTCCGCTGGACAAAAAGGCTCGGTGTATGAATTTCCTGTTAGGAATTCTTTCTTCTCCGCCGTTTTGATGTTTGTACATGAAGCTGATTGTATTATGCTGTTTTCGTCGCTGGCGAAGTTGCTATCGGATTCTTCCTCAATTTTAACGCTGTTTAGATTTAACCAGCGTTTTAACCGTAAAGCGTTCCGTAGAGCGCAACTAATGTCAGGTGTGAGAACTCCGTGATACGAACACTGTGATATGTTCTCGTCGCATTCTGAGATGGATTTGAACGACGGAAAGAGAACTTCTAGATTATATATGTTTTTAGATAGAAGCTTTTGTAAGAAATCCGTTTTTTCTTTGCCTCTGGTGTAGACAAGAGGCGCATATTTTGTGACTTCTCGAAGATGTCTCCTGAGATATTTAAGATTGGTTTCTCCGTCAAACCACTCGATACCGTGATAAATTCGTGAAAGCCAATCGTTGCATCGTTGTGATTTTTGTGGTAATTTGGTGAACGAGAACGGGGGCATTAAGATCCAGTTTCCGAAATTTGGTCGATTTACCGCGACAAACGCCACTTCCTTTGGAATAAATTCACACGCGACACCGCGAAATCCTTGCATTTCTATGATCACAGCCCCTTTATACGAGTACAGTGTCATCGCGGAAACGAAGCGAAGATAGCGGGGACTAGTACAAAACTGAAATCTCTTCACAAACGCTCGCGACAAAAGGCATGGTAGAAAAGAAGGTGGGGGAAAAAATATCATGAGTTTTACGCATGTGCAGAGCGAGAATATGTTTATCCGTTATAATCCACAATGATTTGGCGCGATGAATCGATTTCCAAAACACTGTCGAATTCTGCGTAAACAAGGCAGTTAATAGTCGTTTCAAGAGCTTTTTCAAATCGTACTTCAATTCGCAAGCTTCCGTGTTTCACGAGATTCCAATGATCGACGCACTTGGCCGATAAATCAGGAGTGAGATCGAAAGCAAAGAGTGTGTAACCGTGCGCATAAGCATCTCTGCTTATAGCATTGCTTTCGTTTAGAAAATGAATACCCGTCCCCGAGAAAAGAGTATGAAAAGCCTCGATGTAGAGAGGAGCGTCTTTTGAAAAAGAAGGTTGTAACGATCTAGTAGGAACCTGCATTCCATCGACGTAAAACGACAGGAAATTTATATTAAAGTTTTTAAAATTAAACGGATTCATTACACTATCACCGTGAAACGCCTTATTTTCGACAAAACCGATTATCACACGCTTCGGTAGTTGACCGAGTATGGCGTTGTCGATTGATTCCCCCACCACCCCTCTGTGAATTGTGAATGATTTAACCTCGACCCTCGTGAGAGGATATTTCGCTGTGGTTTTACTCAGCATTTTAGCATGGGCCAATAACACTCCAGCGCTTAGCTTGGCTCTTCTTATGATCAAGGTGGCGTCTACAATACGAACTTTTGCTTGCGATGTAGGTTCCATAAGACAGAAAGAATCCTTTGAACGGATTAGTCGTAGTCGAATTTCCACATCGTTAATCAGAAATGTATCCTGATTGAAAACGTCGCAATGTAGATGTCCTATAAGATCTACAGGACGTTGGTTTTTGAAATATTGCATACGTCTCACGAGAGCGGGGTTGTCATTCGGTGCAACTATCCCCGAATCTATCAGACCCGGAGGATCGGAATCCCATAACGAGGTGGTGAGATGGGAAGTTTTTGATTCTGAAGAATAATTCAATAATGTCTTGAGAGAAGCGCGATATACATAAGCATTGTTCGGAGGCGACACAAGTTTCTGATTAAAATACACGTCAATTTGGTTAAACATAGAATGTAAAAAGTTATTCACAGGCCCCACTGACGCTGCCACTGCATCACCACCGCTGTTAGAAGCGGCAGGCGGGGGTTCAGGGGTGTTCAGTATTACACGTAGACTAAGAAGAGTATGCGCGAGATTTATGTAGTCCTCGCCATGACCAGGTACGACAAACTCTATGGGTGCGTCGTCCGCGAGAGTCGACAAAGGTTTGTAATGAATCCATTGCAAACTCTCGATACTGGTCTGAGTGGGCGGTAGAGTAAAAAGATCTAGTTCACTCTTGAAACACTCGCACAAATGGGTATGGAGAAAAGACATCGCGCCTACGAGAATATATCGCTCACGGTACGTTTCTTGCTCGTGCATCGGTTGCTTGCGCTAGTCTTTGCTCGCTCCTTCTTCTTTTTCTTCTGAATTCCTCTTCTTGTTGAGTGTTTAATTGTTCCTGTTTTCTTTTTTCTACGTGTAGCAGCGGAAGTCGATTTTTTGACGCTACTACTGCGTCGGCGCTTGATCGCGAAGTGTGTGGGAAGCTCACCAGGAACAAACTGACCCGGACGTTTCTTCGCAAGTGGTATATATCCTGAACCTTTCATTAAATTGGTTATTTTTTCTTGCGCCTGCCTTTTGAGANTATCACGTGATTCCTTGAAACGATTGTTAACTGCTTCTTTTAGCGGGATATTGCTATCTCCCACATCGTCTAATATTCTCACTCCGGCGCGTAGAGCTTCTTTTCCGATCGCNCGAGAACCGCTAGCCAGATAGGGAAGCACTTTTCTGAACAATCCCCCGAGAAAACTCCCGATACCATGCCCGCGCTGATACGCTGATCCTACGAAAACTCTCGGAATTCCGCTTCCTCCCCCTCCCTGCATCTCGTAATATTCCATATAATGAGTCATATTATCTTTATTCGAA